TTTATTGCCCAATATGCCTTATGCTCAATTTCAACAAGAAGATGGCATGCTTTCCCATAGACGAGCCGAAACGGACTCATCCTCAATACACCCTTGTATGCTGTCCTTTGGACCCATAGCGCATCGTCAAGACGTGTCGACCAATCTTGCTGTGAAGAATTCACAGTTTTCTCCAAAATATTTTTTATCTGTTTGTTGCTCGTCTCGGCTTGTCCCGACGTCTGAGGATGGTAAGGGGTAGCCACCTTTTGAGAAAACCCATATTTCTTCATCAACTTTTCAAAAATACGGTTGCAAAAGTGTTTGCCACCGTCGCTTACAATCGCCCGTGGGAATCCAAACCTGCTGTTGTAAATATTTTTACTAGAGTAGAATCGAAAGATTCGAACACCGGGTCGTATCACGAGGAAGGTTAGCCGGATTATTTTGCACGTTATTCAACACACGAAATAAGAAACAAGTCCTAAACACTCTAATTCAAATTTGGGGCTATTGATTATCAACTACGAATAATAAGAACAAGCTAGCAATTTCAAACTTGCAGTTTAAAGTTTAAACTCAAATAATGATAAAGGACTAGGGTATCGGGGATATCGTTTCCGGTTCTCAAAACAATTTACGAACAATCAATTACTCGACTAAAGGACTCAAAAACTAACTCATCCAAAGGTTCATTCTCAATATCTCACGAAACAAGAGAATAAACGTAAACAAATCAATAACGAATCAATTAGCACATAGACATTACGTTACCGAACAAGTCTATTCTTAACGAGCCTTGGTCGAACAATTTCTCCCTTTAGGTTTCAAATCGATTAATTAGATTAAGATGGTGATCAAACATCTAAACCCTAGGATAAGAACTACTCGAAAAGATTGAGCAATTAACCATACACATAAACAAAATCAAGCCGGAACGATTATCCCCTAACCCTAGCTAACGAATCTAGCCACTCATTGCAATATCAACATAAGAATACATAGCAGCCCAAGCACAAATCATCATAATTAAATGAGAAAAGATTCTTACGATTAATAAGAAAACCAATGTCGAAAACAAAGAGCAATCCAAATCTGAAAGTTAAATCGGAAGACAAAATCTTGAGGTTTTTCACCTTCAAAATTGAATCCAAAACGGAAGAGAAGAAAAAAGAAAAAAAAAGTTCTTTGTCGAGTGAGAGTTCAAAAAAAAAATAACAAGTACGAAATAATAATTTTTTAGCCCTACGGTCCATAGTCTTTTATTCCCGGTTAAACATCACGTAAAAAAACGGTTCCGCATATCAAGCTTCCCGGCGCCGCGGCGTGAGGCTTTCCGCGGCGCGGCAGACGGAGTATCGCGACCTTGACACGACGCGGAAGATGGAGTCACCGCGGCGCGATGCTCGCCGCGGCGCGACGCCTGGAGGTTCGAGATGCTGTTGTCGACAACGAGGTGTTGGCGCGGCACGGAGAATGAACGCGGCGCGGTGCTCGAAAAGCTTCCTCTGTCCATGATGCGGCATCCTCACGGTGCGTTGATGAAGTTTCGTCGCGGCACGATGCCTGCCGCGGCGCGGTGAAAGGAAAAGGTGCTTTTGTCTGAGATGTGGGGCCATCGCGGCGCGAGGGTGGTGTGTCGCCGCGGCGCAACGCTTGCCGCGGTGCGGGGCCAGAAAATGTGACTTCTGTTGCAGACAGGGCGCACTCGCGGTGCGGTGCCTTGAAAGTTGGTGGACTCGGGTTAATACGTGTTGTGGGACGGGACGCAGCTGCTCGGGTTTCTTTGCTCTCTAAACCTGTGCCGAATAATCTGAACCTGCACATCACCGGAGACGAGAAGAACATACGAAAAACAAGCAAAATAATAGAAAATATCCAAAAAACGAGAAATAAACGACACACAAGCGAAACGAACGACTGGTGGACCAAAAGAACTAAAAAGACACTAAAAATGGGGGTAAAAACTAACAAATGAACAAAGAAAAAGATAACAAAAATGAAACAAACAACTCCCCCACACTAAGACCTTTGTTCATCCCGAACAAAAACAAAACAAAAGAAAACGAGCAAACGAGCATGTACAACGGTTCAGGCAAGACAAATCTCAAACCAATCAATAAAATCAAGAAGAATTCAAATGATCACGAGTACACACCTCAACTATTAACTCGGTTATTGCGAATGACAAAGACTCTCGAACACGGAGATATATCATATGCCTCACTCAGTTTCTTACGCAAGTATAAAATGGGTGCACTCTAGCTGGTCATCAACCAATTCAATCATAAGTTTGCCTATTGTCTATATTTTACTCTGAAACACTCAAATATGTGAAACAATGAATCAAGAGGACTTCGAGGGATGTAATGTAGGCTCTTTGGATCGGGTAGGAAAAATATAGGCTAGGTGGCTCAATAATAAGCAACTCAACTCTCTTCAATCACCTTCCCGTTATCATGAACTCTTCCGGTTGTCACAATCAACCGGCTCTTTCCTACTACTCCAAATTCAACACATCACCCCAACAATTATTCAATACTTTTCTTTTTTTTTTTGCGAGAACTTTTGGACATTTTATCTAGGTTTAACCTTCGGGTTGTCTGCCCGAGTCTTCTAGACCGGTTTCCCGTACTTATGGCTCGCATCCACTACATTAGTGAATTGAGCGCTAGGAGTATAATCCATTCGGTTCCCCCTTTTTTTTTTATTAAAATGAGAGGGAAATATTTACACCTCAAGCAACCATTACCTCCAAATCTAGCCCGCAACTCAATGTCATCATCACGAGGTTAACAATAAAATCAATTAAGGCACAAAGGGGGTGACTAGTGATTTCTTTTTATTTGGAAGAATAAAAGGGAGAGAAAATACAAGGAACGCCTCAATCATTTTCACGTTTCACAAATTCGATCACTTCATTTTAAAGTAGACTCAAGGCAAATTCTAACTGAATAAATTTCAAACCAACATCTCACAAGAAACGAATATGGCTCACAAGGTAAATAATGTCATCCAAAATAACCAAGCAAGTTAGTCAAAATATGCCACTCATTCTCATCATCAAAACTTCTTAATTCAATCAATCAATCATTAACTAGTCTTACAATACACCAAAGTCCAAGCTCAAAAAGACACGCAAATAATCCTAAAAATAGACCGGTCCACCAAGCAAGATAAAAGAAATGAAACAATCCTAAAGAGGAAACGAAAACAAGACCTGGTCAACCATGTAGCCACATAAGCATGCAAAAACTCCCCCACACTTAAAATCAGACAATGTCCCCATTGTCGATCGTCAGTAAGGGAAAGTTGTACCACATAATCAACTAACTCAAAGCAAAATAAACTGTACAAAATGAAAGAGAAAGAGAAAAGAGAAACGTACAAAGCACAGTGAAAAGTCACTATGCATCTGGTGGTGGCAGTGTAGGTAAAGAGGATTGACCTGCTCCCGAACTCCCGCGAGTGTCCCACTGATGGAATTGGTCGTCCCATTCGCTCCACTTAGCGTACTGCTTCGCTTCTCATTGCTCCCAGCGTTCGTCATTCGGAGTAATGTAGGCCTCCACTTTAGCATTGTGCGCCTCTTGTCGGGCCTGATACTCGGCTTGTTGTTGCTGGTACTGCACGAACCAAGCCGGGGCTTGCTGATAATCTATCCGGGCGGGCTCTCCTTCGTCACCCAAGGCATGGTCGACCGGCTCCTCATTCTCGTCTGCCACCTGCTGAGAAGGGCCTCCTATCGCTTGTGTCGACAAAGCTGCTTCCTGTGCCAATCGCGCCATCTATTTCTTGTAATTGTCATAGCTTTTACGCTCGGTATAGTGCGTGATCTGGGATCTCTTGTCTAGAAAACCCCCAGCCCTGAGCTCGGCATAACTGATGGCCGAAGGCCCGAGGCCTTCCTCAGAAGAGGCTGGAACCTTGAAGTGATCAGCGACATCCGCCACGACATGCCCCAACATGGGGAAACTCAATGTATTGCAGCGTGTATTGACGAGAGCTTGTTTAAGGAATGGGAGAAGGCATACCGGCTTGTTGTTGCACATGGCCCACAACACGAACAACTCATGTTTGCTCACTTTATTCACCTCTTTCTTGCCAAAAATATTGTAAGAAAGGAACTTATGCATAACCGCGATAGGCACCTCCTTTATGAGACCGGCTGATGGTCCTTTCCTGTTGAATGTTTTGCATGGAGATAAGTCGGCCCACTGCTTGTTGGCCAGTGACTTCCCTGGTTTCTGGCGAGTACCGGTTACCCTCAAACCATAAATCTGGCTAAGAATCTTGTCCGTAATCTTGACCTCTTGCCCATTCAAACGACAAGTGAGGTAATTGCCGTTATCATGCGCCTCAATCGTGCTGAAAGCCTCAAGAGTAAGAGACCGGAAGGAAGTGAGATTCTGGAGTTCAGCGTATTTCTCTAAGTGTAGGACTTTCACGTACCGCCGGACTTCGTCCTCGATGTTAAGGGCCTTTAGCATGCTCCAGTCAAGAACTCGGGGATGCGGTATAGTGCGTGCGGCAAGGCGCTTGTAGGTGGCTACCTCCGAGTCATTGAAAACCGGAAACAGGATACTATGGATTTGGGCCAGAGTACGAGTCTCATTTCCCGTGTTAGAGTCCGAGTGGTGTGAGCTAGAGTCCGAGCTAGAGTCCGAGTTAGAGTTCGAGTCGTCCGAGGACTTGGGTGGTGTGGCGGCTCTGCCCTTGCCTTTATTCTTGGGAAGAGGCTTCGACGTGTTCTTAGTCCTCACCATACTCGTTGATTGACACGATCAATTTGGAAGAGTGAATTAAGCTTCCTTGCCCGGTTGAGGCAATTTTTCAAACACGTGGCGTGCAGAAAGTTGGCTTCAAGGATTTTTGGGAGACTGTCAAACAATCTCTATCCAATTTCCACAACTCAATCAGCTTCCAGCGAGATTAGATGATTACTCAGAACTGAAATCCTTAAAGCTTCCAAGAATTTTCGTTACGA